AAAAAAAAAAAATTACTTTTGCACCTTGTCCAATCAGATCTTTTATGTGTACTAGTCAAATCATAATATTTTATATTTATTGAGCTAAATAATTTCAAGAAAATGTAGTCACTTTTCAATAACTATTAAAATAATCAAATTTTAATTACACAAATGCATTAAATGTATAAGTTTTGCATTATAATAAACAATTGTTGGATTTTAAATTATGTGGTCCATCACCCTGTGCTATCAAAAGTGATGGAACTCCCACACACTCACATCTTTTTGAAAACACTATAGAATGGGAAAGATAAAAAGAAATTACCAGGATAAATAAAAGAGAAATAAACAAGAACCATTAGTAAAAAACTGAATTACTAAAACCACTTTTCCTTAAGGTTACTTGCCAATCTGATAAAATTTCTTTTTGAGAATTTAGCTATTTGAGGAAAACAAAACTCATCCCAAGGCATGACATCCCAAAGCTACAAGACTTACAAATAAATGTTGTATATGATAAACATGGATACCATGTTCTTAATACACTACCCAAAGTGAAACTGAATCAGAGGAATCCTTAGATTTGCATTAAAGGTCCCTTTGTACCTTAGGTTTGCATTAAAATGAAAAAGGAAGTGTCAATGTGATCCTTATCAAAACTTAGCAAGTTATTTTATCAACAAACAAGTTCTGTGGCTTACATGGAGAGAGACTAGATGCTGAGAATAAGCAACATGATATTGTTGGGAAAGAACAAAGCTGAAGGAATGACAGGACACAACTCAGGACTCACTGTAAAAGTAGTGATAAAGACACTTTTCCCACTGCAAAAGATAGGACATATAGAACTATGATGCAAATGAGAGCTCAGAAATAGATCCCTATAAATAGTGAGAATTTATCTTAGATAAAGGAGTGAAGGCAATGCAATAGAGAAATTATCATCTCTTTAGGAAATGGTGCTTGAATAACTGGACATCTATGTGCTGAATAAATAAATAAATAAACAAACAAATCCAGACTCTCACCTGACATCTTCACAAACTAAACTCAAATTGAAACACATTTCTAAATGTAAAACTCAAAACTATAATCTTCTAGTTATACTTTGGGTCCTCTAGTTATGTTTCTAATTGTGCTTGAATAAGCTCCCACATAATATTTATCATTTATGGTATATTCCAGATGTTACTTACATTAGCGGTCAATACCCTCTAATGAGGGTTGGAGTCTTACTCAACTCCATATACCTTGTTCAATTAATTCTTCTGGATAAAGAAGAATATAAGTAGCTTTCATGCATATCCATGAGTAATATGAAATTATTAGCAAGTTTCTACTTCAACTTTACTAGAGAGGAAAGAAGAAATCCATCTTCTGAAGGGACTCAAATGATAACCACAAATCCTTGGTACTTACATATTTCACACTCATTTCTCTTTATAAGTAAATCATTTTTGTAAACCATCATAAAATAATCTTAAGAATTGGTCACAGTCAAAACTCTGGTTACATTGGTGAAGATTTTTGTCACCTATTCCATTTGACATCAAAACTTGCTTTCAGTTTTTTTTTTATTCAATTCCCCATGTTCAGGTTACATAGGGTTAATTCTATGTATTGAATCTTTATGAACTACAAGATTCTCTTTTTGTTTTTCATACTGGCTAAGACACAATTCTATGGTAAATTCTACCTTCCCACACACATACTTAGACTCAGGAGGGCTCAATCAAACTAAACTATACCACCAATCACACTTACTATTCCCAGTTCAAACTGTTCAGAATCCCAGATAACATAGAAAACAATCACATTATAACCTATGATACTGTCAACTTTTGTCCCAGAAAGGATACCTACAAATTTAGGGGATGATGAAATTAGATCATAAGTTTTCTTAATAGTACACACACACAAACGCACACCAGTTCTCAAAGACATCACAGTATAATTCAGAAAATATAGTGATGGTCAAATAAACATCCCAAAACACAGAATGAATGAAAAAAGCAAAAGAAGCATTGTATTTATGATTTTTCCAGTAATAACATGATAGATGTTTAATACTAGATGACAGAATAATATGAGAAAAAGAGGGGAGTAAATAGTCTGAATCATTAATGGTCACTGAGAAGTACATAAAAGACCCAGGAACCAACTACTTGTCCAAGTATCAGAAGTAGTTTTGCCAAATTTGGATTAATTTAATGTGCTGAAAACTCTTAGAATAAATGCCTTTATCTTTGATGCAGTTTATATACAATCCATACAAATGATGTCAGTGGCAGTAGCTTGAACACAAAGATATTAGTTCGGGAAATTAACATCCAATAGCACAGGCTAATAAAGAGACTTAACACAGCAATTCTCTGTTCTTCACAGATGGCAAGACAAATGGGGAAGCAAAATAATCCTAGCGAGCTAACTAGCATCACAATATTGATATAGTAATACTGATATAGTAATAAAGTCAGAAAGATTAAAAATCTTTCCAGTAGTATATATAAAATGACACAGAAGCATGAAATAAACACTTAAAAGTTGCTTTCTAAATCTTGGCAAAATAGATATAAAATACAACTTGTTCTCACCATATTTAAGTTCTTTGTGTCATATCCATATATCATAAACAAGAATTCACGGCATAGCACACCAAAAATCTTCAGTGGACACAACTTTGAACCAATAAATCTTTTAAATGAAGTATTAGATAAAAATTCTTTGTTGCCAGAAAACGCCTGTAAAATAAATTTATTTTATCCACATTTGGAAGCCCAAAAGAATCAGAATATGACATTATGTTTTCAATCAAATACATTAACTTGCAGTTTAAAACATTTCAATTAAAGATAAATCTTGCAAGAAGATAGCAATGATTTGACTGTTAGATTTTTCCTTACAATGAAAAATTCAAAGGTTTGATAGTAAAATCCTATTCCTAGAAACAAAGGGTCTAATATAATGGAAACCAAAAAATTCAGTTCTTACGTTTTTCTTAATTAAAACATGCATTGAAGTTAACATTGCACTATATATAACATTATACAGGTTTTAGGTTATAAATCAACATCTGTGTAAGATATTTTATGTTCACCACTAAAAGTTTAACTTCAATTTTAACCATACAATTAAATGCATATAGCTGATTTTCCACCCTCTTTCCACCTTCTCTTCTAGTAAGAAGGCTTTCTATGGCATAGAATCATTGTCATTTTGGTTATCAACCACAACAAATAATGGAATAACAAACCTTGATCACTGGCTTCAACTTGTACGCCATTTTAACAAAAGGACTTTTTAAGTATTTAATGGAAAAAACTGGTGCTAACGCAAAGAATATTTTGATTCTTTCAGCTATCTTTGGTATTGTGGAAAATGTTATGAAAGCTGGAAGAAAGGTAGAAAGAAAGGAATTAATTATTTTTATGCAAATACTAGCATATAAGAGATGATAATGAGAGGAAGGTCAATAGATTCTGATCAGTGTACTTATTCATTTATCAATTATTTATTGATTACCTATTATGAGATATGCATATTGATCACAACATAATATTGATTAGGATTAAAATAAATCTATAGACTATAAGTGGTGATTATATAGCAATGAATTAGTTTCACAGCACTATACTTTAAAAATAAGAAGAAATATCGAGTATTTGTGTTTCTGGTTATAAGGTAAGAGATTCAACATACTCAAATTGCTTTAATATTTACTTCAAATATATTTCAAAACTAAATATTAGTTTATATATATTTTTATAGATCATTGTTGATATAACAAAGTGTAGTTTTTCCTTTTTATGACATCAAGCCATCAACCTACATATCTTCTCATTTTTACTGATTGTGGTTAGTCCCCTGGGTTGTGATAAGTCAAGTAACCAAAGAAATATATATCATATAACATATTATAGGCTGATAAATTCTGGCATGTCATTCATTTTCTTTAATTTTTCTTTAGGAATTCTTGACTCCTATTAGAACCTGGACTCAAAGTCACATTCATAGTGAATTAACATCAGAAAAAAAGATCCATAAAAATGGGATTTGATTGTTATCCAACATACTATTTCTAGTAGGAAGTGGATTATTCCTATGAGGAAATGCCACCTTTTCATTTCTTCAGCTTAGAAATGATACTCTTCTTTCTATACAGCTGCTATGGGTTTCCATTGTAAAATGGACCCTTTTTTACCTTCAAAGTAGAAAGAATATGAGGAAATAGGTCTATAATACTATATAAGAAAATTATGTAGTTTCTTAGTGAATTCTTTCTCTGAAATTAGAGTTGTTATGCATTAGTGTTGTGAGATGAAAGTCCTTTTCTGGTCATTTTCACACAACTCAGAGTACTAACCACTATACAATGATGGCCTTTTCTAGCCATTTTCAGAAATGGAATGGCTTTTCTCATCTTTGTGCATGTATTAAATTTAATGTATCCTAAATATGAAAACATAGTCTTTTCAAGTCTGTTGGTCATAAAACCCTATGCTATATTTTTAAAAATTATGTAAGTTCTATTAATGGATCAAGTAATAGTTTTATGATATCACTTTGATCTTAAGATGGATATCAAACTTTGATATATCGGAAACAAAATGACAACTTTGCTTGGAAACCCAGTTCTTTGTAACTAAAGAAGACTGTAGAATGACAGCAAGGTGTTAGCTCCTGGGCAGAGTTATCCTATGCTTGTCTCACAGTTCTGTGTTGTTTCATATATAAGTCAAGAAACTTACCTTTAACTTAATAAATACAATCTACACTCTTTAAAAAATTAATTAAGGAATAATGATCTCTCTTGGCATACCAATAGTAGTGCCCTGTGAATGTCCTATATAAAAAATTTTCTTTTGTCCAGTTCGGTTTACAATGAAATCAATGAAGGCTGGAAGGTCATATTTAGCCATTTCATCAAAACTAGAAAGAAAAGGGGAAATAAAAATTTATTTTAAACTGATTTTATATTAACATTTGAAGATAGTCAGCAAATGAAAAAGGCCAATTTCAACCCTCTTGAGTATTATCAAAACAAATAAAGAAATGTGCAATACATTTATAAAATAAAATGAAACATTACACGGTTTTATTTGTACCTGAATGACCAGAATTCTTTGGAATCCGTTTTTAGGTACGTGTGTTTCCTGGACCAGGTAGTCCCTCTGCTGTTCCCTAACCATACATCATAACCAGCATCTGCCAGAATGAAGCCTAGGCTATTGTTAGGGAGATTGGAAATCCAGCTGCTGGCCGATGTAAACAAGCCATGTTGTAGGTATACAACAAGTCTCTGAGCTGGGGAAAAAATATAGAGAATCACTTTTTAAATTTTGTATTATATACATGAAAATCTCATGTGAATTTCAGTCTTTCAATACATGACAATTTAAAGCTTTATTTTAAAGAAATGTATACATAAGTAGAATTACTAATGTTTAACCCTAGTGGATGTCAAAGTTGTTGAATGTAGTTCACTAATGGACTTCTTTCAAATGGCCAAGTGGACAATTAGGTCAAGTCTCATTTAAATATATAAACGTTTAAAGATTTGGAATATTCAGATAGCTAATGTAATTCAGACATTCGTATATTTTAGACAACATACTACATGAAACACTATATGATTTTTCCACCTTTTTTATTTCATAAGACAATTTTACAATGATATTTTTTGATGATATTTATTATCCATGTCATCATTAGGACCAGAGTTTCAGGAGTTCTAAAGCACAGTTTCAAAATTTTGGAGGAGTAACATTTTGGATAATGTGAGGTTTAATCATAAGTGACTTTAACACCTGAATTACCAGTCACACCTTATCCTCTACAGCACTGATGCTGTTGGGCCCTACCTATCCCACTATTATAACTAGGTTGAATCTCCTAATCTCCAGCTGTTGTATTAGCTGCCAACTGTACACCGCTGTCCCTCTCAGGAGATGCACATACTATTCCTGGCAAAATGGAAGCTCCACACTGGGGGAAGTGACAACCTATACCTGTACCAACTAACACACGCCTTTATTGTGAGGTGCTGAATGCTGAATGTTAGTACAGACCACCTCCTTGCCTTACTCCCTTCTCTGCTCTCCTGCTTTTCCCATTACCATTTTCCTGTGGTAAATCCCTGTCACCGTCTCTGCTTCTACAGAACTGATTTAAGAATTACTACTGAAAGTAGTAAAGGTAGTTGACAGTTAAGGAATGGGATTATGAAGTTGGATTACTTGCTGGCTGACTGGTTGTAGAGTGTAGGTAGAATGCTGAAAGTGCCTAGTATGTTGTAGCATTTCAATGACTAAAATATTCCTGTGACAATATGGGAAAGTATTGTTCTGGCTTGTACAACATCTGACAGTTATAAGGCACAGGGGGAGGTTTAGGGGGCTCGGTAGCTATTGCAGAATGTTTGATGGTATTTTGAAGAGAGAAGATAAAATGTGAAAAATAATATTTCTTTAAAGACCTCGAAACATCCTCATTTCCTGGAGAAATCCTCATTTTCCTGAGGTAAAAGTTATGACTAAGAGTCAATTGTAAGAATGGTTAAACGTGCGCCTCTCTGGGTGGCCTAGGACTTAAGTGTCAGCACTACCACTGTGACAGCCTGAGTTTCATCCCTGGCCAGGGAGCTAACCCACAGAAGGCACAGTAGACCTTTCCTGTCTCAACTGCTGCCCCCCTCAACAGTGTATTTTGGTAGATCTGCCTTTCTGTTCTCCACTCTGTCTCTGGTGAATCCTTGGGCCCCTCAACCCCCACACCTCTGGCCTATACCCCAGGCCTTCTAAGCAAAAATAAATAAATCTTTAAACTTCAGGTAGATTCAATTCTCAGCCCAGAGAAGATCTCATGCCATATCAACTTTGAGAAAGTTGAAAGCCCTGAGACTTGAGATAAGGACATCTTGATAGAAAAACTTTAGAAACTTGAAATCCAGATTTCTCTGAACTTCCTGGAAATATAGAAGTGACCCACTCTCCTCTTTGTTAGAAGATAATGACTCTGGCGCCAGAGGTACTTCGATGATAAGGACTTCTTTGCCTCAATATTAACCCCAGTTCTTTCCCTGGAAACTCAATTAGGCATTATGGTTAAATTCTAGCATGGCTTACAAAAGACTATTAGATTTTCTCAGGGAGAGGAGATATTATATCCTACAGGAGCTACAGAATCTGGAGATGCATAGGTAACAGCAAGGACTGAGAGTGTATGTTTGGAATGGACCGTGAAGCTTGGGGATCGAAGGGGGGCATGTGCACATGTGTAGAGACCTACATAAGGGAGAACCTGTTCATACACAAATACATTCCTAGGACATATACCTGCAGTTGTTCCCCAGGTCAGTTCTGACATTCAGCTGCTATTTCTTGGAAGACTAGAAAATTCCAGAATTATAATCACAGATAGTGGAGAAAATGATAAAAGTGTTTAAATATAACCATGCTAACTTTATTAAATAAAGCCAGACTCTCCACAAACTGACTCCTGTGCCTTGGGAACTTTCCATTTACTAGGTTGAAAAATATACACAGGGTAGCAGCAGAATTTAAAAGCTGGAAAGCACAGAATTTCTGTTTCCATTTGGGCATATATAGGATACTAGATGAAGTAGCATCATCACTCTTACAAAGACCTGAATTTAGATTCACAACATATTAAAGACTCACTGAGCAAAAATCTAACCCAAAATTTGGGGAATGAGAGGTGCTTTCATGGAGAAAAGAAACAGGAAGCAGACATAATAGGAATAGCTCAGGCAGACTAATTGAAGAATGAATAAAGATCATTAGTGGACTCCAAGGACAATGTAAAGCTTCTCAATGCAGCAGAAATTGGGAAAGTCCATTGTCTCCTGCAAGCTATTTCCTATGAAATTAAAATGAATCTCACAGAAAGACTAGAACTCTTATGAAAATGTCCATTGTGGTGTAAACTTGTGAGAGGGAGAAACATCCATGCAGGTGAGAAAAGAAATTCTTCTCTGATTCTTTTCCACTGAACGTATGCACATGAAGCTATGTGCATGGAGAGGAAGGGCATTGGAAAGGCAACAGATACTCTACAGAATGCTCTCACCAACAGGATGACTCAACCAGTAGATGTCAGCCAGACACAATTTCTAGCCATTGCTCGCTTGTGCAATGGACTCAAAAAAAGGAGGCAGAGACAAGGCAGCTCTAGCTACTCCAGGGCAATTATCTGACCCATCAGTAAAAGTGTTCTCACATGCTATCACCCACCCCTTAAGGAAACCAAACCAGGCACTTGGAGGGAAGGTGGATATATCAGAACTTTTTCCCTAAAAAGGTAATGACTCCTTATGAGTAGGACAGATTGATTCATTTCTGCTAAGATTGACTTTTGCTTCCCACAGGACCACCATCAGCACCTGAACTCAAGAGTTTACAGAGTACTGCCAGGGGCCTGGTCCTCCTCATAGCATGACTTAAATCATGGGATCTGCTTCATGTCAAAGAGGGGGAGATGCATCCCTTGGTATAGGGCCTTATTATACATGTTTTACCATATAACTAAATCCAAAGGCTGGCAGGATGAAATAATTAGGTTATTTAGAGTGATGAAATAACACCTGGAAGCCTCAGTGAAAATGTCACCTAGAAGATGATATCCTGAAAGTATAGATGCTATTCTTTGAATTTGTTGACACATGTTTAAAAAAAAAAAGAGCATTATGGGGCTGATTTCCCCCATTTAATAGAATTCAAAGATCTGAGAAAAAAATGGAAGTGGGATTAAGTGTGTTGCCACTCACTATCATTCCCAGTAACTCACTGAAGGATTTATGCTTTCCACATTCTCACAATTTTAGGTTCCATAGATCTAAAGACACTTGTTTACACAGAGAAAATACTTCCACTAGACCACACAGTTGGCACTTTGGGCAGCTCATGTCAGAAGCCTGGGAAACAAGTGAGCTCATTATTGTACTGGCAGGAATAATTGACACTGATCATCATGCAGAGATAGAGCCATTGACACGTAATGAGGAGACGGATATAAAAGATAAATATATTTGGTATTTATGTGATGTCCTGGAGCATTTTTTTTTGTTGTTACTTGGATGCCCTGTTTTAATTATAAATGTACAAGAACAGTATCTGAACTTTTACAGACATAGTAGCTCATAGGTATGAAAAATGAGGGGAGAGATATAGCCGCTCTTTTTTTTTTAAAAGATTTATTTATTTATTCATATAGAGCTGGGGTATAGGCCAGAGATGCGGAGGGTGAGAGGATTCACCAGAGACAGAGCGGGGAGCAGAACAGGCAGATCTACGAAGTACACTGCTGAGGAGAGCAGCGGGCGGGTCAGGAGAGGTCTGCCACGCCATGTGGTCACCTCCGGGGCAGGCGGGAATCGAACTCATGTGGAAGTGGCTTCAGCCTCTCAGTGCAGTGCTTTAACCCGCTGCGCCACCAGGGAGGGCCAGCTGCTCTTTTTTTAAACGATTTATTTATTTATGCATACAGAACTGGGGTACAGGCCAGAGGTATAGAGACTGCGAGAGGCTTCACCAGAGACAGAGTGAGGAGCAGAACAGGCAGATCAGCGAAGTACACTGCTGAGGGGAGCAGTGGGCAGGACAGGAGAGGTCCGTTGCATTACATGGATCATCTCCACGGTGGGGGATTGAATTTGCACTGAAGCAGCTGCGGCTGGCATACAGTGCTGTGTCCCAACCCATTGCACCATCAGGGAGGACCAAGATAGTAGCTCTTAAAGCCGAGACTTATAACACAAGGGGGTAACTTAGAAAGAGGGGAATTTACAATGAACAGTAGAAAAATTTTAAGTATCAGTTATGACATGAGCAGTTGCAATAGCATATGAAGCCTACATCACTAACCTTCTTGTACGTTTCCCCATGTATTCTAGCAGTTGTAGGAAATTCTGACCTACCAGAATCCTGAAAAAGTTGTACTTAATTGAAATAAAATTAATGTGAAAACGAGGGAGCTTGAGTAGTACAAGGGACACAGTCTATTGGATTATTATGGTGTTCCACCTGGATTTCCTTTACTAAGTATATTCCCAGCTCTGTATTGCATTTCAAGAGTTCATTATTGTCTCTTGCTCTGTAAAACCACCTCCAACTAAATGGGAATTTCCTCTTTCAAAGATTAGTGTTCAGTTAATGAATGACTGCTGATAATAATAACCCAAAAAGCTAATAGCCTACCTTCAAAGTGACACCTCCTCAGTGGTGTGATTCATGGATTGATTAGCTGGACTCCATTTGAGTCCCATCCTTCCTTAGGTCCTTTCCCTCCATATTTTGATTTCTACTTTAGTTTCTCCAGCTAGCAACTCACAATAAATTCCTACCTTAGGTGAGCTTCTAGAGAATTCAAAGTCACCTGTATTTCAAAATTATCTTGAAATCTTTTATTACAGTATTTGCAAAATAGGTTATACCCTGAGGAATCATTACTCTAATATGTTAAGTCTATGTTAACATTTTCTACCTAGTAGATATGACCTTTGTAAAGATCTGAAATTACATTCACTGAAGTTGTTTAAATTAATGTGTCTTCTCTGAATGTATGTTAACGTTCAAAGTAAGAACTTGAGAGTGAATCTTATGAGAGAAAAAAGAACCCTGTTTTGTGAGCAATTAGACAAATAAGCAAAAGTAATCAGTTACTCAATCAGTTTATTCTAACTGGCACAGCTAGGATTAGAATGCTTGTCACAAATTAAAGCACATTTTGTACCACACCCTACTGATAAAAGATAAATATCTTGCTGGACTAAAGAGCCATCAGGCCGCTACCAAACCAGTCTCCTTGCTATACTAGAGGACAGATTTTTGTTAGTCATTCTTCAAGCCCACTGAATAATGTTACTGTCTTTCAGAGATTTTAAACAATTGACATGGATAAGCAAAGTGACCCACAAAGAACTCCTAGAAGAAACTGCATATGTTTCAGCACACATTAAAACCACTCCATGAACAGGAAGCTAATGGAGTATCACTCACTTCTTGAGCATATGGGCAAGGATATAAGAAGTTAACTCTTACTTTTCAAAGCTTTTTCTTATTCTACACTAATTGAGAAGAAATGGAAGCACTAAGAACTTCAAGACCCAAGGAGTAATCCATTTATATGAAGTTAAATATTACCTGTATTGTTAAATTTTTTTGTCTTCCCATAAGGAATTCTGTAGAGGCCAAGGATATAGCCATCTTTAGTTACAATATCATACACTTCATCTGGGTAGCCCCAGTAGGAAATAATTTCGCTCTAATAAAAGAAATAAAAATCTTTTAATTTCTTAGTCAAGTAAGTTGAGTTACTTGCCATTTTTAATCTATTATGTAAAAATAACCTTTTGTTTTTTACCCTCAAACTTGGGTATTTTGTTCCTGTTGTTACTAATTCCTTGTTAGAAACTAATCTCTAACTTCCCAGGGGAAGTTTTGGCTTCCCTGCCCACTTGAGGAGAGTGGAGTTGAACGGCCAGGTGAAACTATAGAACTCTTGGAGGACAGACAGAGGAGACAAAGGAGAAGAACTGGAGGAGGCACATGGAGAAGAGACGTGTGAAGTAGTGCTTGTTTCTCAGCTTTGAACTGGTACCAAGTCCTTGGAGGACATGGAAGAAAACTCATGTATCAAGACAATTGTCTCTACACTTGGAAGGGATGTGCAAGAGACATCCATGGGGAGTCTGACAATGGCAACTTTTACCTTAATTTATACTTTGATTTTGCTTTTCGTTCTAGACTTGTCTGCACATTTCTGCCCTTCTCCTATGGTTTCCTGCCAGAAGGTGCCTTAAACTTATGGCAAGTTTTCAGGTCTCATTGGCCCTGCTTTTGGTCAAGCTTGTTTGGTGAGGCACTTACCCACGAGGGGATGGATAACACTGGATGTTTCACTGGAAAACAATCATACTCTCTTCTCTATGCACTCTATTCTATTAAAGTTCTTTCATGCTATAAAAGTATGCTTTGTCTTTATGTGGCAGGTGGCAGAACTCTTTTAGAGTGTGCAAGTTTTGGGATACCAGGGCGATCCTCATTCTGTGCGTTAATACGATGAAGTTCTTAGATACTGAGATTCATGGATAAATAAAATAAAAATTAAAACCCCAGTCCTCAAGAAAACATTTCAAATACTAATCTATTACTGTAACTACTACTCATACTTTTACCTATTCACCTGTTTTTTAAATATAAAAATACATGTGTATTCAAAAATTCTTACTTGCCTATGCATATAACTGAACTTATATCTGAAATTTGACTATCTCAGTATATAGAAGAGAAAATTTATAAGCAATCCATGAATGTATGACATATAGCAAGTTAATACTTAAGGCAATCTATAGGTTCCTGGAAACTGACTTTAAACAAAACAACATATAACTAAAGCAGAATAAAATGTTTTATTCAATGAAAAATGTCATCAGCCTTTTCATCGACTTATAAAGTATATTGACTGAAACAACTTTGAGACCAGCTATTGTTATATTTTTATCACAGAGATAGAATAAGACTGAAGGGCAAATCATAAGCTATAAAATAGTAGTTAGAGAATATTAGTTAACCTACATCAAAATATATGGATGCAGAGAAATAAATTTGACTGTAGATCAAAATTGAAATTGAAGAGTAGCATTAGCATTTTGTATTATTTCTGTAGGTTAGCACTTACTTCCTAGCAACTTACAATATTCATATTTGCTTCAGGATTCACAGATCTTCCATGTTGAAAGGTACCATGAGTTCCAAGAATTAGAATATAGGACATCACCTTGAAAATGTACATTTGGGATCTACATATAAATGGGAGATTTTAACATTATTAAAAATTTCAGGTGATACCAATTAAATGTTTAAATGATTCTGTGAGGTAGAAAATATCGTCTAAGGATAATATTGTCTAAGGATAACAATATAAAGTTGGCAGGTATGATTCATATTTAGGCTTGCTTCATTCCAAAGTTCATGCTTTCCAACTAACCTATTTCATACATAACCACAAGCCATCTTTAAAAAATCCTTTATGTATTCCTTTGTGCGGTTCAAAGAGTTCGATCATCTATTGCAACTTAATTCATATCTGAATAGATGATGTAATGATAGTCCGACCAGATTAACATTTATTTGAAGTATTTTAAATGTCAAAGGGATTAAGGGAAGGAAGGCAGACAGATGGGAAGATTAGGAAGCTTGAATAAACATTTTCTTTTGGCCTCTCAGTATTTAAATTATATTTCGTTTACAGAAATGTGAGTTTTGAGTATCCTCAAACATCAGGCCACTTAAGTTCTTTCTAGAAAAGTAACAAGAGGACCACAGAGATCACTACCCAGTTTTCTGTCCTCAGGGGTTGTCTTAGAGAGTTCCTTGGAGTGTAGGGAGAGCTATTTTCTCTATAGTAACTTATACATGCTGCTTACTTTCTAGAAGAAAATGAGACACTTTTGAAAATGAAGTGATATGGATAATCAGTATGGGAAAACAAGCCTAAACTGGACTACCCTGGGCAAGTAAGACTTAGGATGGCCTAATTTTTATCTTTACTTACCCAGAGTTTGATTTTTTATTAATATTTTTATTTATGTTTTACATAATTGTGTATTCCCTGTAAAATTTCCACCACCAGTTCACCCGTGAACCATCACCATAGTCCCTTATACTGTTTTCTCCTCTGCCCTGATCCCTGTTTCTCGCCTTCCATTGCATAAGTTCTCTTATCCATGGTTGCCTGCTAGTTTTGTTTCATTATTATTATTGTTGTTGTTGTTTTTCCTGATTCCTTACTATTTGGTTTCCCTATATTACTCCTATAAGTGAAACCATTTGATTTTTTCCCTTTTCCTTCTGGCTGTTTCAATGAGAATGATCCCTTCTAGATCCATCCATGTTACTGTAAATGGCATGAGTTTATCTTTTTGATTGCTGAATAGTATTCCACTCTGCATATATACATCTTTTCGATCCATTTTTGGGCATGTTGGTTGTTTCAATGTTAATATACAGTGGTGAGCATGGCTATCTTCCAAACTTTGATATATATTTTTTTTATCCTAAGAAAATACTAGAGGATGGGGTATGGAAATCTAGTTGTTGATATTCCTAATAAACAGCAAGGGGGAAGTATCTTGACTATAGGTATTATTAATTTTATTTGCTATTGACAGTGACTTATCAATGACATAAAGCAACTCGTAAAGTTTGCTAAAATATAGATATTTGCAGTTCAATTTTTGGTTACTTAACACTTGAAGTGAGGATAGTGCAACTTAGGAATTGAAATTTTAACTTCATTGAAGTAAATTTGTAAGCTATAACAGTGTACAATATTTTTCTGTTCAACACTACTACATCATTTTGGTAAAACTGTATTTCACTCAAATTACTGCATTACATAAGATATTACTGTGATAGTGCAGTGCACATATTAGATACATGTTTTTTTTTCCAGTAATATGTAAATGTATCATCAATCTTTTCAATGTTAGATTTTATGTCATTTAAAATATTTTCCTATGCATTAATGTAACATTGTAATGTAACTCTTACATGAGTAAGAGTTATATACATGTAAATCATAATAACATAGTTGGTATTTAATTGAAATATTAAGTTAGCTATTTTTCAAGCTTATAAATTAAGTATGGGCATTTTAAAAAATGTTAATTATAGCACATTCCTGGTGCAAAAAGGAGAAGCAGAAACTAGTATTGCAACCAGAGATGATGTTTTCACACAAAATTACAAAAAGAATCACCAAAATTATCTGAATCAGAATTTAATGTCCAGCAATTATTTCTTAAGGATTTTTGACAGAACCAGTTCATAAATTTAAACCATTATAAGATACCTTGAATTCTTGCATGCACACACACAAAATTAATTTTTAGATGTTGAAATACAAAATTTATTATACTTATAAAAAATTGTTACAAGATAAGGAAAAGACTAAAAATGATATTGACAAATAGAGCATTAATTAAGTCAGTAAACAATTGCCTTCATTATACAAAACTTTCTAAGATGATATCAATTGATTCAAAATTTGAAAGATTGCATGTACTTTTATTTAATTATAAAGAGTTTGAAATATGAGATATTGTAATTAATATTTTGGGTTTATTTTGTTTCAGAAGTCTTCCAGATTTATAAGGAAATATTGTCAACCTGTGACCTGTGAAAATCTGTAAAGAATCAAACTAATGGGCCCTTCCTGGAAGCACAATGGAATAAAGCACAGCACTATGTTGTTATCCACAGCCACTGCAGCACAAGTTTGATTCCGAGTCCAGGAGGTGACCCACATGTGCCGCAGACCTCTCCTGACCTACCCGCTGCTCTCCTCATCAGTGTATTTCAGTGTATCTGCCTGTTTTGTTCCTCATTCTGTCTCTGGTGAATCCTCTGCCTGTCCCCCAGTTCTTATATGCATGAATAAATAAATCTTTAAAAAATAGAATCAAACTCATAGCATAGATATTTTTAACATTTTTGTGTTTCTTAAAGAATTTCAATTAGACGAGAAAAAAAAATTAGCTTTACAATGGGCAGTGCTCCAGCTATTTTATTTCAAAAATATAGAATTACTGAAAATTATATATATATGTATATATGTATATATACATATATATATATATTAAAGATTTATTTATTTGTGCATACAGAACTGGGGTACAGGCCAGAGGCTTAGGGGCGGTGAGAGGCTTCACCAGAGACAGTGCGGAGCAGAACAGGCAGATGGACAAAGTACACTGCTGAGGGGAGCAGCGGACGGGTCAGTAGAGGTCTGCCACACCATGTGGTCACCTCCGGGGCAGGTGGAAATCGAACTCATGTGGAAGTGGCATTAGCTTCTCAGTGCTGTGCTTTAACCCTCTATGCCACCAGGGAGGGCCAAATTTTTTATATTTTAAATTTTCAAAAACTTATTGGCAAATTCTATCACATATATTTCAAGAAAAACTTTTACTAAGTACCATCTTCATTTTTAAGTGTATAGTTCTGCTGCATTAAAGTATATTTGCATTCTTGTCCAGGCAATCGCCAGCCATTAAAGGAAAATTCACAGCTAACTTCATAGTCAATCGTGAAAAAACGAAAGATTTTCCTTAAAGTTCAGGTACAAGACAAGGATATTTTCTTTCAGTTTTCAACATAGTTTTGGAATTCCTAACTAGAGCAACCAGGTAAGAGAAAGATGTAAAGGGAATTCAAACTGGGAAAGAAGTAAAAGTATTGTTATTTGCAGATGACATGACAATATACATAGAAAATGCTCAAGATTCCACTAAGAAACTAATTGAAATAATCAGAACAGTAAAGTGGCCTGCTACAAAACCAAATACACAAAATTTGTTGTGTTCCTATGTGCAAATAATGAAATAGAAAAGAAAGAAATCAGGAAAACAAGTGCATTTACAATTGCATGAAAAATAATTAAACACCTAGGAATAAACAATAAAAACTTTAAGACATTGTAAAGGAAAACAAAGATAACACAAAAAATGGAAAGATATTCCCTATTCATTCATGATTTGGAAGAATTAACATTTCTAAATGGACATTTTCCGAAGCAATATACCGATTGAACACAATCCTTATCAAAATTTCAATGATATTCTTCAAAGAAATAAAATATCACTGAAATTTTTGTGGAATTGCAAAAGACCTCAAAGAACAGATGCAATCCTTATAAAGAAGAAAAGAGGTCTAATGCCATATTCCTTAAATATGTTCTTTGCAAAAACTGCTTTTTTTTTTGTATTTTTCACCAATTGATTTGAGGATCCTGAAAAAGTCTAGTTAGTTTTCTCCCTGATGTACAAATAGCCTTCCAATAACTAAAACTTCCAAGGTATCTAAAGACAGCTTTTTGTTCCTTCCAAGTGTAGGCTACAGATTTCTGTCCACTTTACCTGGTCAGATAACAACGTAATTTCAAGTCTTCTTGCCTTGTTGGTTACTTTCTTGGGAATGGTACCAGTTCTTGAATGATCCTTCTAAAATCTGACATCCAGCAGTGAACATGAGATTTTTAAAACTGTGTCATATTAAAAAGTGCTTCTGGGAAAGAATAATGAAACAATCCAACTGAATTTGTATTCAGCCTATCTTACTTCAAGAATTATCCTCAGAAGCCTTCCATACCTTATTGGCAAACAATCTGTGAATCCTCAGTCTCTGAGAATTCTAACTTTGATTCCAGATGTCAGTGATGCTGTACTGAATATAACAAGGTTTCTGCTCTTTGGGGGCTTAAATTCCAGGTGAAGAAAAACAAGAAGAAGAAAAACAATAAATAAGTAAACAAGTAAAAAAGCCAGACAACTTCTAAAAGTGATTAATAAGAAGAAAATGAAACAAGTTGATGTTCTAGAATACTACTTTAGCTCAAGTGGTAACTTTTAAAAATGTATATCTTTATTTACATCATTTTTCATTTTGTGCATTTTTTCATCTCGGTTGTAATCCCCATGGAATTCAAGTGGTGCCTTTTAATGTGAATTTGAATATTCAGAGGGACCCAGTCTTGCAAAGATCAGAAATAGGAAAGAAAGTTAAGGGCAAAAGTCAATATGTTTAGAAATAGTAAATATGAGTGCAGAGAGCTGTCCCAGTTATTTTACGATCCTACTTTTTTAGGATCTAGTCATTCATACCTTTCCCAGCAAAATACACTAATCCAAGAACCCTCTGGCAAGGCGGGATCTCACACTGTAATCGACCCGATTTAAGGTTTTAACACGGGAGAGGTCACCCAGCGTTTGCTGTTTATCTGTGGGCGTCAGCTTATCTAGGCGGGCAGCTTGGGCCTTCAACCTCAAAACTAAGCTCAGGTTTTCCCCTTGCCAAGATTCACGGCTTCAGGGCTGATCTCCTGCTCCAGTCGCCTCCTCTCTGCCTCCTGCAGGCCAGCCGGCGGGACTACGCAGGCGACGGCTCCAGCCAGGAGCACCAGGCCTGGAGCGCCACACCGGGAGGTGCCGCTCCGCCTCAGCGGCTTCTCCACAAACTCTAGCCCGCTGCCTCGCGGCGGAACCCAATCATGGCGCGGATGCTGATCGTAGGCGCCGGGCTGACAGGAAGCGTGTGCGCAGCGCTGCTGAGGAGAGAAATGGGAGGTCGTCTGCACATCTCAGTGTGGGACCAGGCTGGAGACTCAGGTGGGTGGTCTAACGGCAGAAGCGCGGGAAATGGAGTCGGTGTGGCCCTGGGCTTCTGAGGTGGCTCAGACCCCATCAGGGGAAGCCTGTGAAGAAAATGCAGCCCCTCGGCTCCGCTTGGCCCAGCTGCGGCCTGCGCTCGGCGCGCCTCGTCACGTGACAGGTTTCCGTACCCGGAAGAGGCCAGAAAAGGGGTGGCTGGGCTGTGTTGAGCGCGCGGCAAGTGCTGTGAATGCTTGGAGGCGGTCGGGTGGTCTTGGGAGCCGCCCCAACACAGTTTGGGGCTCCTGCTGTCACTAATCAGTGAATTTTGCCGCAGGGCCTTTGCAACTTTCTCCAAATGATGAGGCATTCAAAGTGCTCATTGATCAAGATCTTCTGAAGATCAAGTTTACAGAATCTTTATCCTCTTGACACCTGACTTTTGAGAGTAAAAGCGCATTGGTTGATTTATTCTGTCTGATATTTCATAAAACGTGTTGTTTTATTTTCTCTATTCATTAATTTCTTTTATTCAGATCAGTAATGTGTGTTCCAGGCAGTGCTGAACCCTGCCACCTCGTTCATGACTCTTCATATCTCACAATCAATGAGCAAAATGTTAACTTCTGTCTGACAATGTTAGATGACAAAGCCCTCAACTTAAAAAGAAAAGTTTTCTTATACTTCTGTCAAGTAATCCATTTGGATGAATGGCATTAATTATAAAAGGTTCGTTCTGAGGCACTAAGGCATTTTCCTGTGGGTTAATAATTCAAGGAGGAAGAATGACTACAGCCAGCAGCCCTCATAATCCACAGTGCACAGTCGACTTGGGTGCTCAGTACATCACCTGTACTTCGCATTTTGCCAAAAAGCATCAAAGGTGAGTTAGTGGAAAGGGTTGGAATCAATGTTACTGGTTGGATGATGTAAAAAAGATCCGTTTTTAGCCGTTAAACTTTGCCTTTTGCAATATAGTGAAATTATTATGACATTATCGTTGTCGATGGTATCAGCAGTGGAAGGTTAACCTGAGAAAGTAGGAAAATTGTAATATCAGATTTATAAAGTTGCAAAGATTATGTGAGATATTATAAGGTACATAGTAAAGGGTTCAGTAATGTGAAGCTTGTTTTGTTGCTCTATGGAATCCCTTATAGTGTATTTTCACCGACTTTAATTTTGAAATACATAGGAAAAAAAGCCTTTAGCTAATGTCAGTAAAAAAAAAAAATCTATAGGTTCTCAAATATTCCTGTTCATCACCTGATTTATAACCTTTATTTTACACAAAACATTGAGTTGATTATTAGAAGATTTCTAATTATTATTTAGGATTATAATCTCAAAGTTATTGGAAGGGGATGTATTTTAAAGCTATAGTATATAATACATGTTGATTTATTTCAGTTTTTATGCTGAACTGTTAGCTTGTGGTATTTTGAAGCCTCTGACTTCGCCTGTGGAGGGAATGGTGATGAAAGAAGGAGACTGTAACTTTGTAGCACCGCAAGGAATTTCTTCAATTATTCAGCATTACTTGAAAGAATCAGGTGGGGCTGAAATTTTCTCTTTTAAAGTTAGCATTTAAAATAAAAGTTATACCCATAAGATTAATATTGTAAAGTTAGAAAATAAAGCAGATGTTTTTCTATTCGTCATCCAGTAGCTAAATTTTCTTTCCCTAATTGCTGATAAATTTCCAGTGTATGATTCCAGAAAAATGTTTATGCATCTCTCTATTGATCTACAGAGCTGTTCCTTTTTAATCTATTTACATGTATTTGTATTTTTCACAAACTTTCCACAAAACGTTATTTAACATAAACCATTCTATACATTGTTTGGTTTATATCATTTGTGTAATTTTTATCAGAAAATTTGATGTATTACTATCATTATTATTATTTTTTAGCAGCTGTCTAGTTTTATGTGGTATGTGTACCATACTTTTAACTATTCACTTTCTGGTAAATTCTTAGGTTGTATGATGGTGAAGGATTGTTTTTGGTTCTGACAATACCATCATTGCTGCACTGTCTAACCTTGATATATTTTGTAAATATGTCCAACGAGGTTGGACATCTGTTCCTCTTAAAGACTATCTTGCCATCATAATGAATGAGAAAATCTGTTTCTACACCTTGGTTTTGTAGAAAATTTTTACTTTGCTAATGTGATAGATTAAAAATGGAATCTCTTTTGTTTTTTAATTAAATATATATATATATATATATATAGGGGCCCTCCCTGGTGGGACAGCAGTTTAAAGTGTAATACTATGAAGCTGTCTGCAGCCACTGCAACCAAATTTGACCCCTGGACGGGGAGGTGACCCACATGGCATGGCAGACCTTTCCTCAGCAGTGTTTTTCAGTAGAGCTGCCTGTTCTGCGCCCAGCTCTGTCTCTGGTGAAGCCTCTCACCCCCATACCTCTGGCCTGTATCCTAGCTCTTGTGTGCATAAATAAATAAATCTTAAATATATATATATATATATATATATATATATGTAGCTAGATATACATATATTGAGTTAAACATATACATATATAATTAAACACCTATATCTCTCTATATATTACATTATTGTTTATTTTTGTATAATGTTTGATTTCTCCTCTCAGGTGTAATCGCCATAATATTCCTACCAGCAGCTCACCCATGAACCATCACCATAGTCACTCATGCTCTTCCCTCTCCTGTTTTGATCCCTCTTCCTCCCCCTCACTTGCTGCATGTCTCAGATTTATAATTTGCCTGCTAGTTTTGCCCCCTCCCCCCAATCCCTTGTTTGGTTTCCTTCTATACCTCCTGTAAGTGAAACCATCCAATATTTTTTTCTTTTTAACTTATTTCACTAAGCATAATTCCACCTGCTCCATACATGTTGCTGCAAATGGCATGAGTTTATCTTTTTTTGATTGCAAAGTAGTATTCTATTATGTATCCATGCCACATCTTCTTGATCCGGTCATCTTTTTATTTTTTGAACATTTAGATTATTTCCATATCTTAGCTATTGTAAATAGTGCTTTATTGAACATAGGAAAGCAGGTTTCTTTTTGAATTAATAATTTTGTGTCCTTTGGGTAGTTTCCTAGGAGTAGAATTATAGGGTTATATGGTAGATGCTTTTTTAGTAATTTGAGGGTCCTCCATACAGCTTTCCATAGTGGCTGGACCAGTTTGCATTCCTAACAGCAACGTAAAAAGGTAAAAATGGAATCTCTTTCGGGTTGAGCCTTATGTATCATTGTTTTGTTAATCAGGTCTTTGCATTTTTTCCGTCTTACTCATTCTTGGTTCTTACATTGGAAAAATGAGCATTACAGTATCTACTGCAGAGTGTCTTGAGGAATAAAGGATGCCCTGTCCTCATTGCCTATCCACAGCAGGCATTGGTAGGGAGTTGTACCTGAGGTAAAAAGCATTCCTCATTAATGAGAAAGACAGTAAACACAGGGCACCCCAGGGACTGTAAAAACAAACCATTTTATTCACCTGACTGGATCCAGCATGTGACACTTTTTCCCCTTCAGTCATATGGAAAATCCTATATGAACATAAACTTACCTTTGGAACAGGTGCTGAAATCCACTTCAGACAGTGTGTGACTGAGATCAACCTGAAAAATGACAAGTGGGAAGTCTCCAAGGAAACAGGTTCCCCTGAGCACTTCGATCTTATTGTCCTCACAATGCCGGTTCCTCACATACTGCAGATTCAAGGTGACATCGTGAACTGTAAGTCTTAGCCTCGGCTGTTTGTCTTGGGAATTGGGGTGTCTTTGATGAGCATGAATTCAGTTTAACTCTCTTAGTAAAGGGGATATTATGGGTTTGCATGTTTTAAAACTGGTATTATTGGCTTGGTTCATAGGAGGCGTCTATGCCAAACTGAAAATCAGATTTATTTTTATGACTTAGAAGTTGAATATTTTCCTTACTACCCTTGCCTTTAAGTGAGTACTTTTAATGGATATGCAGTAGTTTGACCTGGAAGGAGAAGAGTCCCTTTGTTGCCATTGTGGAGAAAAGAAGGTTTTGTGATAAAAGTTCTTGTTTGTGTTGGTTCATTTTCTGTAATTTTGTTCTCTGGGTTGCCCTTTAGTATTTCTGTTTGAAGCAATTGCTTACTTACACATAAGAGAAGGTATGGGATGGGGGGTTGATGGGTAAATAAATCAAGCTAAAAGAGCTAAAATTATGCTAGAGAAGTTAAAACTATGAGAAAGGAATTAATACTCAAAGGCAGTTCTTTCAAAAGTAATAAAAATACAAAAAATATTTTCTTGCGAAGAACAACAAAGGCATACTTTAAGAAAAATATAATAAACGATTGATACAAAGAATGACTTTTTTTTAGTGACTTAAATGCCACTATTTTCTAATATGTATCAATTTTCATATGGAGAGAACTACTAAACCCTTGTAGAGAATTTCTTTGAGACAATAAAAATTTTTTTACTTATCCTTTGTCATTGTTTCCTAAGGAGCATCAGGCTGATGATTTGAATGAATTAGGGACTAATAAAAGGCTAGACCATGTCTTGGTTGGCCCCAAAAAAGCTAAAAAATATATATATAAAGAAAAGATAAGGAATCTAGAATGGAATGACCTTGTTACCAAGTACTGATTCTTCTTTTTTTAAAATACTGATTCTTA